GATTATATGGTCTACCAGTTCTTATTATGCTTGAAAAAAATGCTGGCTACAAAAGTACCTGTCTCAACCTTGAAGAACCTAGCAAAATGCACAGCGCGTGCTTAATAAACCTTACTAAAGGAGCACACATGACTGACCAGTAGTAAGCATTTATTGAGCCTCTACTACGGTGCAGTTAGCTCTAAGATACATTCTTGACATGAAGAAATAATTATTTCACATATAAATTTTTTTTTATAAGTACACTAAAAGCAACCCTTTCAGTACCACAGAAATCAACATATTCCAATCAGAACCTTTTTGCTAAAAAATCTTTTCTCACTTCCATCTACAATCTATTATCTATATGTGCGGCAAGGATTTACCTGTCTCTTCTCTTTCCAAATGTCCCAATACCATTTACTGAAGCGTAGAGCCTGGCTTTCCCCATGAATTTCTGATCCCACCACTGCTGTTCTGTAATTTTATTCCTTAGATCCATGGGTCTCTTTCTCGGTCCTTCATCCTGGTTTCTTTGGTTTGTCTATTCCTGTCAGTCCAGAATATTTTAATGACTCCTGAGTACAATGTCTTTATATCAACTTCACTATACTCAAGCATCTATTCTTCTAGAGAAACTTTTCCATTTATTTATCTGATTTCCCTAAAAACTCCAATTTTACCTGCATTATATCAACAGATTAACTTGGGGGAGTCAGAGGGAATCAGTATATTTTTTTTTTTTTTTTTTACTTTCTTTTTTCTTTTTTTAAGACAGCTCTGTCACCCAGGCTGGAGTGCGATGGTGTGATCTCAGCTCACTGCAACCTCCACCTCCCTGGCTCAAGTGATTCTCATGCCTCAGCCTCCCAAGTAGCTGGAATTACAGGTATGTCCCACCATGCCCAGCTAATTTTTATATTTTCAGTAGAGATGAGTTTTGCCATATTGGTCAGGCTGGTCTCAAACTTTTGGCCTCAAATGATCCACCTGCCTCAGCCTCTCAAAATGCTAGGAGTCCAAGCATGAGCCACCACACTCAGTCCCATTAGTATCTTTATAATACTTAAGGTTGTTTTGATTTTTTTTTTTTTTTTTTTTGAGACAGGGTCTTGCTCTGATACCCAGGTTGGAGTACAGTTGTGTGAATATGGCTCTGGAGCCTCAATCTCCCAAGCTCAAGCGATCCTCCCACTTCAGCCTCCTGAGAAGCTGGAACTACAGGCACACACCACCATGCCCAGCTAATTTTAAAATCTTTTGTAGAGACGAGGTTTCGCCATGTTGCCCAGGCTGGTCTTGAACTCCTGAGCTCAAGCGAACCTCTCACCAAAGCCTCCCAAAGTGTTGGTATTACAGGTGTGAGCCACTGCACTCAGTCACATACTGAGTTTTACTATTCGAACGAACAGCTTGATTTTTTTTGCCAGTTACTCTATGTTCTACAGTAAGAATTTATTGTTTTCTGCACAGAGATTCTGTACATTTCTTTTTATACAAATTACTAGATTTTTTCATGGTTTTTCTTGCTTTTGAAAAAGAATCCTGTTTCTTATTTTCTAACTGATTATTGCTGATACAAAGAAAGCTATGTAGTTGTTTTATACTTACCTTGTATCTATTTTCTAAGGCTAATGTGAAACCAAACAATTTCAGTAGCTTTTCAACCTTTCTGTAAATAGAAACTTGTATTACGGCATGAGTCCCTGTATCTAATCAACATTTGATATGTATCTTAAACCTAACAATTTACACACACTCGCACACAAACACACACCCGTTTCTCCATACTCTTGTGCAAGTAAAATTGTCCCATACAAAAGAGATTTCACTTTGATTCCTCAGCAAGAGTCTGGGCTTTGCTTCTTACACTTTCTAGCATCAGAGCAATGGGCCAGCTCAGCACGAAGGGTGAGTCACTATCCAATCCACCTTCTTAGCCATCTAACATTCTGAAGATCTATGATATTCACTCTAATCAGGATCAAGTCAGGATCTTTTCTGCTTATGTATTACAACATATTCAAGGGTTCCCTGTGCCCGAATACTGTAGCAAGCGGAGAGTCTGTCTCTAGGTGGCTCTTTTCTCTCCTGTGCCCATTTAAAAGAAAAAAAAAATCGAGAGCCTTCAAGTTAATTCTGCCACAATGGTCTCCTTCGGCTAATTTGACTGTGTCTAATCTTTATCAGTTCACTGACAATGGTCAAAACTTTTCTCTTAACAGATAAAAAATATTCTTTAAACTGGGAGTTTTATAAACAGGTTTTCTATCTTAAAAATGCCAGATTGTTTTTATTCTATATATTTAAACATTTAAAACTACACTTAAGTATTTAAATGCATTTTTATTTTTTATTTTTGTTTTTTGAGACAGGGTCTCACTCTGTCACCTCGGTTGGAAGGCAGTGGTGCAATTTTAGCTCACTGTAACCACTGTCCCCAGGGCTCAAGCGACTCTCCCACTTCAGCCTCCTGAGTAGCTGGGGCTACAGGTGTGCACCACCATGCACATCTAATATTTTGTATCTTCAGTAGAGACAGGGTTTCACCATGCTGCCCAAGCTGGTCTCAAACTCCTGAGCTCAGGCAGTCCACCTGCCTTGGCCTCCCAAAGTGCTGGAATTACAGGTGTGAGCCACCACACTCAGCCTTAAATGGCATTTTAAATAGCAGCAAAATACTTCTAAAGTCACATCCAATACAGCTGTTTTTTAAACATGCACTATGTTCTTAAAGTCAACTGTCCTCTGATCTGTGCCACATGACTCATGTTTGCTGATAGGAGGCACGCAGAAGTGTTGCCCAGGCACGCCTTCACTTTGCTCACACTTACCACCCCGCCCTCAACTTAACCTAGAGGATTCCAGAGCCTGAAGGAGGTAGAACCATAAGAAGGAATGAGTCTGGTTCCCCCAATGACTGTGTGGAGCAGAGACTCCCTCCTCAATGAAATGTAATGTGAATGAGAAATAAACTCTTACTACATTGAGCCACTGAAATAATGTTATTGTTTTAAATGCAGTTAGCCTATCCCTAGATAATATAGAAATGATAGGTAAAGGCCTTGAGACTGACAAGAATTTGGAATAGCTGATGAGGGAAATAAAAAGGGGAATGACTAAGATCAAACTGATGGAGGGGCTGTGAGAGCCCACCAAAGTCTGGGCCACACAAATCTATACTCACACCAATCCACATGATTGTATAATACATTCAACTTGGCTATGTTAAATTATTTTTAAAATCGGACAGTTAAAAGAGCAGCAAAATATTTTTTAATGAACTATTACACAGAATCCCAAAATACAAACTAGAGAAACACAGAGCAGACGTGGCTGAAGCAAGACTGGAAGACCTAGAACCTCACCTGCTGAGCTCCTCTGACACCTGCAGAATCTGCCTACAAAGTCCCAGGACCCTAGAGGCCAATGTGAAAATTCACGATTTTATAATATTGTTAACTTCAAGCTGCTAATGTTAACATTTCTGTTATCGACATTAATAAATTAAATTAATTTAAAGTATGCTTTTTGTTTCTATTTTCTACTTTAATAAATGCTTATTTCTCACTTATTATAACTCAAGTATTCAAAGCCCTTAATTTCTCTTTCAGGTGGCACAGCTTTGCCCCCATGGCTCTTGTTTCTTCATCTGTGTTGTCTGTTACTTTCTCCCATTTTTCTGACTGTATTTTCAACTTTCTTCTGTACTTAAGTATTATTCCTAACTCAATACACATTTAATTCCACCATGTGCTAAGCATAGGATACGTGATGAACAAGACCAATATGGTTGCAAATTCTCAGGAGAATTAAATTTTCTAAGCAATTGCAATTCTTTTAAACTTACACAGTGATTTCCAATTTCATTACACTATGATGAAAATGTGACCTGAGTTACTTCTTCAAGATCATGAAGGTTTTCACAGTGGTCTGGCGTCTACTGATTCTTCTCATGAGGTCATGTTCTCCAGGAACACCTACTATCCATAAATGAGATGGCCAGCATCTGTTCTCCTTTTCTGCTCTTCCAGATGTATTTCCCAATTACTCTCAATATCTTTGATTAACTAAATTTTTGGCACATTTAAATTGTTTTGTTTTGATCTGGGTTTTGTTTTGATGTAATTTCCTTTCAGCCAAACCAATTTTAAAATCTGTGTCATAAAATATACTTCAATCTCATTACGGAGAAAAAGGTATTTCCTCTTTCTCTTCTAAAATTCTCTTGTTTCATAAAAGTGATTTTTCTCTGAGCTCATACAACTTTAGTCCATTTCTATTGCTGAATAATTTTTTTTTTCCAGAGGTATCATGACGTTTCCAAAACACATATTCTTAAATTGGATTTACTGCTCATTACTTATGCAGTCCAGATGACTCCAGACTAGCCCAAAGCAGGCCTACTGTATCTTATTCACTGGAGAAAGCAGTCAAGCCTGACATGAAAAAAAATGAAAATGTGTCTTCAACTTCCTCATCTGGTACCAAGGTGTTAGCTGATGTCACTTCACAAAGATGGAAAGCAAGTTACTTCGTAAGAGCTTTTCTGTGTTTATTTCATAACGGACATTCAATCAGTTTTGTTACAGACAGAGACTCATCTAGCACCAGTAAGAAAATAAATCCCCTTTGAAGGAACAAAAGCCAGAAGTTATTTCCACTACTCAACTGAATACTGCTGTTGAATGGAGAACACTGCAAAGGGGTGAAATGCATAGAAGAAAAATGCATCCTTGAGCGTGTTCTCTGGGAAACTCTGACTGACCTAGCTCAAGTACCTATGAACCAAAGGAAGCCCCATTAGGTATGAAGAAGCAGAACAAAGCTCTCACTGACTTCTGTAGTACTTAAAAGACTACTTAGAAGAGGGAAACTCTAAGTTCATAAAGAAATTTTCAACTGAAATGTTTAATAATAGCTTTTCACTTGAACTACTAAATGCAAATATAACATTTTGTCCTTTAACCACCTTGCTAGAATGGATAAAACAGGCTACTAAATCAAAGTTTTCACCTTACCCTGAAAAATCAGCAGAATATTGTCCATAGTCAAAGATATAGACGCGAGTGACTTGGCACACTGTGAGGTATCCCAGAGCAAACACAAAGCAGTATCTGAAAAACAAAAACAAGCTACGTTAATGAAAATAAAAGACTCATTTTGTTAAAGAGCACGTTTTAAAGTACTTTATTAATTAAATGATATGGTTCAGAAATTAAATATTACTAGATCTACTTTAGAAACCGCTTTCTTTAATGAATTATGAAAACTCTTTTCTAGCATATGCTTCAGTTTACTTGACTATCACCTTCAATGATAAATTCATTTTATTCATTTTCTTCTGAGAGACATACACATACCAATTTATATATTTGAAAGTCATGGTCACAAGCTATAAATATGTGATTAGTATGTGTTCCATTTATTCCGCCTTTCTAGAACATAAAAGTTAGCACAACAATATCTGGCTAAGGTATATATTAAACAAATTCTTCATAGAATTTTGAAAAAACCTTGTTCTCAATAGTCTAAAAGCGTAACTGCTTAGTATGAGTCGGGCGGCATTTACTTACATTTCATAGCCATGAACACTTACTGATTTCTAAAAACTTAAGATGCTGGGAATATAGTTACAATTAAAAACATAGAATGGGAAAAAGAACTTATGTATCAACAGGAGAGAACAGAAACCCAGAAACAGACTCCAGAATATTTAACATTGAATAAGATGAAGGCTGCAGTGCAAATTATCCGGGAATAGATGGCTTGTCATCTAACTGGTTCACAAGCTGGGTGGGGAAAAGAAAGCTATGCCTTCATCTCACACCAAAACAAGTCTATATGAATTAACTAATTACATGTAAAATACACAACTACAACAAATAGGAACTATGACTAAACAGTCAAATGTTCCCAAATTGGGGAAGGACTTTCTAAATATATATCATATAGAAGAAATCAAGGGGGGAAAAACTTTAATAAAAAATTACATTTCACCAAATAAAAATCTTTGTCATGTAGGCAGTTCAGGTTGTTTTATGAAAGTTCTTTAAACTTTTGAGAAACAATTATAATATTTTAGATTATTCCCGAGCAAAGAACAGGGAAGGAAAGCTTCCTAATTCAAACATTTAACAAAACTAACATATTCATGATTGCTATATCTGACAAAAATAGCACATATGGATACACATTCATAAAGTGTTGAGAAATCAAACTGAACTTCTAAAAATCATGTGGCAGACTGTACTTTCCAAAGATGCTTGAAACAGTATATCCTATTTAATAGGCTCTTCTGCAGCCTGTCCTGCTCCCTGTCAAGAGGAGGAGTCTCTCTCTGCCCACTTCGAGTGTAGGCTGGCCTTCCAACTGCACAGAACAGTGGACTACAACATTGGGCTCTGCCTCTGATGAGAACCTCAGGCTGCTTCCAGTAATGGCAGAAGGTAAAGGAGAGCCAATGTGGGCAGAAACCATGTGACTGGAAAGGAGGAAAGAGCCAGGAGGTGCCAGGCCCTTTTTAACAACTAGCTCTCAAGGAGTGAGAACAGACTCATCTCCTCATCCCCCGGGGAAGGCATTCATCTATTCATGAGGAATCAGCCCCGTGACCCAAACACCTCCCATTATGTCCCACCTCCAACATTAGACATTAGATTTCTACATGAAGTTTAGAGGAGACAAACATCCAAACCCTAGCAAAAATTTTATTTCAGCTCTGATATAAAGAGTCAGACCTGTACAATAGGGAGGGATGTTACTGATGGCAGCAATCTTGAAAGACAGCCAGCCCTCTGGCCCCAACAGTTCACGTGAATCCTACATGAAAGTATATGCCCTTTCCTCCCAGGATCCCTGAGAGTGGGAAGGGGGTGGGGGATAAAAGACCACAAATACGGTGCAGTGTATACTGCTTGGGTGATGGGTGCACCATGACACAGTGTATCATGACTGTAGCCAGTACGGAATAAACAGCAAAAATGAAACAAAACAAAAAAACCCACCCATCTTATATAACATAAGCAAAAATATTAACTGACATTCATGTTGGAAATACATTCATTTGCCAATGATGTGAGCAACTACTTTACTAAATTGGACAGCAATCGAGCATTTATTTATAGTCATTTTGGTCAAATTACAGTTGAATTGCAGCCATAAATTAACTGTGAGAGTTCAGAAAAATATAAAATCAATGAAAGTGTTTTGCGAGAATCAACAAGCTATACAGAATTGACAATAGAGGATATTCTATTTTCATTATTATTTGTAAATTCTGCACTAAAAGTCTGTTAAATTTGTAAAATTTAGAATAAACTCATGTATGTACATTTATGCATACCTTTTTTTCCTAGAAAGACAGTTAGTTGTTACTTACCAATATACCCCTACTTGCTACATGTGGTTACTGAACTCTTGAAATGTGGCCAGTGTAAACCGAGATAAGCTGCAATTGTAAAATACACCCCAGATTTTGAAGACTAAGTATAAAAAAAATATTTTTCATTGATTACAGTTTGATATGATACTATTTTGGCAATATTGAGTAAAATGAAATGTTACTACTAAAATATATTATGTGCTTTTTTTCAGTTTGTAAACTGTACCTACCTGAAAATTTTTTTTTTTCCTGAGATGGAGTCTAACTCTGGCGCCCAGGCTGGAGTGCAGTGGAGCAATCTTGGCTTACTGCAACCTCTGCCCTCCAGGTTCAAGTGATTCTCCTACATCAGCCTCCCAAACAGCTGGGACTACAGGCACACACCATCACACTCAGCTAATTTTTCTAATTTTAATAAAGATACAGTTTCACCATATTGGCCAGGCTGGTCTTGAACTCTTGACCTCAAGTGATTCATCTGCTTTGACCTCTCAAAGTGATGGAATTACAAGCATGAGCCACCATGCCCGGATAGAAAGTTTTAAATTACATCTGCGGCTTGCATTGTATTTCAATCACATAGTGCTAGATAGTTTTCCTTAAAAAAAGCAAACAGAGCTGGTGGGGCTTTTCACACTTCGCCATGCTCTCTACCTAGAATATGGATCTGATGGGTGCGGTAGCCACCATCCTGTATCCATGAGGTGGCCAGCTAAGAGGCAGAACCAGAGAAGAGAACTGCTTCTTTAATGGCATTGTTGAGCTCCTACATTGGCTCTGGACAATCTAAATTGAGAAAGAATTCTAGGTGGTGGTTTTTTGTTTTTTGTTGGTTTTTTTTTTTTTTTTTTTTTTTAACTCTCTGTACTCCTAACTCATCCAAAAGCACATCAAACTTTTGTTGCTAATTTGTCTTTTGAATTATACTGCAAGGAAGGGTGTAGGGGAAAGCCCTTGATTTTTCAAGTTCATATATCAACAAAGAAAGCAGACATATAAGCCAGTACATGAACAAATTATTTTAAGTGACACAGTCCACTTATGAATTTCACTGAATGTCTTCAAACCAAAGAGTATACATGCAAATAAACAGGGCCTGAGCTGGATTTAAGTAACAGCCCCAATCATTTTTTATTATTCCTACCCATGTGATCTTAGAAAGTGACTATTCTTCTGCATCCTGGTTTTCTCATTTCTAAAAGGTGGGTGTACTATTCCATGGATCCTGGCTATTGTAACCCCATCACTGTCATCTCACCCTCCTTGCAACTGCCTGGTTTACGGGAGGCATAAAACTTAGGTCCGGGTGATGAAGCATGACACAGAGCTTTTGAAAAGGCCTTTCTTACTCTTAGTGTGACACTTGCCATTGGCACGTATACATGCGCAGTGGCTCTCTTTAGCATATGAGGAGCTAGCTGAGAACAAAGTCAATATGCTGAGATGGCAAAATAAAAAACAGAACTTGGTGTTTTGATGCCCCCATTGACACTGAGCTGTTGAATTAATGAAAACGAGGTGCACCTTGTCTCACGACTTCTGGCTTCAAGAGGTAATCTTTCTCTGTTGTTTACACCGTTCACATACTACTATAAATTGTGATTTCTGCACTTTACAGTCAAAAGCGTCTGGATATGATTATTACTAATATCAAAATAAAATCCACAGCTTCTGAAGAGTTCCAGAACAGAACATTTTCTTATTAAGAACTGTTGAATTGCTGCCTCATTTCAAAAGCTGAAACCACATCTAAAATATCTGTTCACTTAGGTATTAGATACAGGTGGAAATTGTTCAGAGAAATTGCTAATTCCCAGGGAGCAGCAACTATGGGCATTAATGAACTAGAAATGCTGCAGAGAACTAAAAACAAATTCTTCTCAAAAAAGGAAAATGTGATGTCACCAAGAGGTTCAAAATCTTGATGGGAATAAAAATAAAAACTAGCAAATGAGTTTTTATTTTAACACGATGAAATCAAATTACACTGTTTACTCTCCAAGGTTCTCAGGCTTAGATGGCTTTGGTTGTAGCCCAACTGCACAAAAGGCTTGCACATCTGAATACTGGCTTTTTTCTCTCTCTTCTGCCTTCCCCTCTGTATTTTCCAAGACTATTTACTATGTATATTTTGTTTTATAGTGTTTTTTGAAAGAGAATAAAAAAGTTAAAGAACTTACATTACCCGATTTCAAGACTAAGTATGAAGCTTCAGTAACCAAGACAGTGTGATAGATACTGGCCTAACATTAGACACATATATCAATGAACAGAATAAAGAGTACAGAAATAAAGCCATACATAGATGGAAATTGCAATTCAAAAGGAAAAAGCATTTGCAATAAATAGTGCTGGGACAAATGAATATACATATAGAAAAAATAAATTTCAACCCTTGTCTCTTAACATACACAAAAATTAACTCAATAGGGATCATTGATCTAGGCATAAAAACCAGAACTGTAAAACTTCTAGGAGAAACTTTTCATAACCCAAGGACAGGCACAGGTTTCTTAGTAAAAGATAAAAAGCTCTAAACTAAAAAATTAAATTCACTTCATCAACATTTAAAAGTTCTGCTCTTTAAAAGTCACTGCTAACGAAGTAAAAAGGCAAATATAGATTGCAAAAACATTTTCATAATTTATCTGACAAAGGACTTATATCCAAAATATAGAAATGAATTATAACAAAAATTAAATCCAACAGTCAACAGATCTAAACAAAATGTCC